CACCCCCACCCCCACCCCGGCAGCTTCAGGTTGGTTGGAGGGCAGAGATCGGGAGGGCTGGACAGAGCAAGGTCTCACAACTGCAGGGCCTTGCTGAGGAGTTCACCCCAAGGTAGGGGAAGGGTTCAGCAGAGGCCTGCCACCTGCAGGTGCTTGCTCCACAGACCCCCCTCAGGCTGACGGGGAGGTAGGGAGATGTGCAGATGGGGTATCTGGGAAGGATGCATGAAGACAGGAGATGGACATCCCAGGCAGGCAGAACTGCAGGGTGGACCTGGACACAGGAGGCTTTCTGGAATGTTCATCAAAGACAAGGCCAAGTAAGAAATAACCAGAGGGTCAGGTCCATTCTCTGTTCTCTGATGGGGTCAGCCTCTCTCCCCACCTCCACTCTCCTGCCAGAGTCCAGACCGCTCATGGTCCTGGCTCTGCCCACCTCACTGAGTCCTAGGAGACAGAATGGCCAGAGCTCTGCCCCTTCCGTAATGTGGCCTCTGCTGTGGGGCTTATGAAATGGCCCCTGGAGGAGCCAGGCTGTGCTCTCCCCAAGCATAAAGGTCTCCAAGCTCATCTCCTCACTTGCTTCCTGGTGCTCACCTTACAAGTGGGAGCCTTTCCTGTTTGTTCTACATTGCACTGTAATGAACACAGGCTACTCTCCTATTCCAGGCCCAGAGAAGACATCACTAATCTATCACAGATCTCATTTATTCCCATTCTGCTCTACTTTGTATTTCCTCCACAACATGCCATCTCAGAATCCTTAACACACCACTCCAGGCAGCCACTACAGACAGATCAGAGCTGGCATCCAGGTAGAAACCTACTGACCACCCTTGATCTAATACAATTAGTCATTTTATTTTATTTATATTTATTTATTTATTTAAATTTTATGTGTATGAGTGTTTTGTCTGCATGTATGTAAGTGTACCCATGTTGTACAATGCCCACAGAGGCCAGAAGAGGGCACTGGATTCCCTAGAACTGGAGTTATAGTTATTAGCAGTCATGTGAGTGTTGGGAACCGAACCTAGGTCCTTAACTGCGGAGCCATCTCTCCAGTCACCTTAGTTTTATTTATTTTTATTTTATGTGTGTGAGTATTTGGCCCGCATGTGTGTAAGTGCACCTTCTGTGTGCAATGCCTGAGAAGACCAGAAGAGGGCACTGGATGCCCTGGAACTAGAGTTATAAACAGTTGTTAGCTGCCATATGGGTGCTAGGAACCTAGGTTTTCTATAAGAACAGCCAATGCTCTTAACCACTGAGCCATCTTTCCAGCCCCCCAATCAGTCATTTTCTAAAAGGGGCAACTGATCCCCCTGAGGGTAAGGAGCTTCTCAAGGCCAGGGAGTGATTTAGTGAGAAAGCCAGGACTGAGACCCAATCTCCAGATTTGTCTCTCATCTGTGTGCTAAGCAGGGTCTGGGATCAGCCCTTGGGGGCTGCTGGAGCTTAATGGATCCCACCAAGTGGGGCTTAGGAGAAGTACAAGCCAGGCAAGCATGAGGAACTGAGTTCCGATCCCTAGCACCCACAGAAAAAGTCCTGTGTAGTGATGAGCAGTTGTAATCCCAGTGCTGGGAGGCAGAGGCAGGAGGATCTCTGGGGCTCACTGGCTGACCAGTCAGTCCAGCCAAATTGGAAAGCCCAGTGAGAGACTTTGTCTCAACAAACAAGGTGGCTGGGTATGGTGGTACACACCTGTAATCCCAGCACTTGGGAGGCAGAGGCAGGAGGATCTCAAAAGACAAAAAAACTAGGTGGATAGCTCCTGAGGAATAACACCTAAAACCGACCTCTGGCCTCCACACCACCCACATGGATATGCATGACCACACACATACATTTGCGCGCGCACACACACACACACACACACACACACACACACAAGATGTCACGTGACTGGAGGATGCTGAACTGGTTGTGGACTCATGTCTCTGAGGCCCCTCCTCGCCCCTTCAGGCCTTGAGTGGCCGCCCCAGCCCACACCCACCCCAGGTCCTGAGTGGCCGCCCCAGCCCACACCCACCCCAGGCTCACAGGGATGATGGCTACTCACCACTGCTGTACTTCCTTCTCTGTGACTGTAAGAGAAAAGAACAGAGGTTAGCTGGGGGTCCCGGAACATAGGCACTCACAGGGGTTCCCCCTCCTTCCACCCCCACGGGCTACCTGCCCCACTGAGGGGGACACAGGCCACTCTGAACAAGAAAATACACCCCTGGCATATAGCCCCCTCAGGCGGGGGCTCTGTCTGGCCTCCCCAGAAGAATATGTTTGCCCCATCTCCCCCAACGCCTAATGCGCTGCTGCTGCCAAGCTGCCCCCCAAATACCTTCAGACGCCCAGGTTCACTGCTCTAGGAAGTCAACTTAACATACATTCTTCTGGGGGCTGAAGAGGTAGCTCAGTGGTTCTGCTCCTGCAGAGGACCAAGTGTGGTCCCAGCACCCACATCAGGTGGCTCACAGCTGCCTTTCTCGGCTCTCAGTCCTGGAGGGTCAGAGCAGATGACCCTCCAGGGTCAGAGCAGGGTAAGGAGGTGCTCAGTGAAGGTCCAGCCTCTCAGAGCCGAGCAACCCACCCCCTCACTGCCCCGTCTGGGTGGGCAGCCTAGGGTCTTTACTGTCAAGACATGGCCAGAATCAGTTAATGAAGGCTGGAAGGAGCCGCCTAATGAACTAAGCTTGAGCTAAGCCCAAACAGCCACCCTTTACTGAACCATATAATAAACATAACCGCAATTTTTCTGAAAGGCACCGAATTGAGCTGGAACCAAACCAAGCTTCTTGCCAACATCACAGAATGAGAACATCCGACCACCTTCAAGGTCAAGCGCTCCCTGCCAGGGTGACCAGGGGAGGACTCCCTGTGTTCCCTGTGCTTCAGTTTTTCCATGTAAAGCAGGCATTATAGAACAGTACCTGCCTGGGAGCTGGACCCTAACAGGTGCAGAAGGTCCCAGCTCCCTGGCCCAGCGCTGGGCACTCAGATGAGCTCTAGGTAGGGATGAATGAACGAGTGAACGAGTAAATGAATGAGTAGCAAGACTGCAGGAGGCACTGCAGTGAGGATCTAGGATCTCTTCCCAAGGAAATGGGGAAGGGCGGAGACTAGGGAAGACCCCCCTTATAAAAACTGCCCCAAACAAACTCACTCCTAGCATCTGCTAGACCCCAGGCACCCCCTGAACACTGTGACTCAGCCATACTCCCAGCAGGCCCCAGAAAGCGTTTGTCTGCCCTGGCTCCAAGTGGGTAAAGTGAGGCACAAAAGGTCCAGAAGCGGCAGAAGGGGCATCAGAACTGAAGCCTGGGCCCAGAACCCGGGGTTAGAACCCTGGGTGGGCTGGTGGCCTCCCCTCCTTCTCATCTGCACCCTTCCCAGGGGCTCCCATGGAGTCCGGGAAAGGACTCACCCAGAGCAGTAAGCTGATAGAGAGGCCAGTCCCCTAGAAGGCCAGAGCTGGCAGGGCAGCACAGTGCACTTTTCCAGAAGACTGACAGAAGGTACAGGGTGAGGAGGTACGGCATGGGAGGGGAGAGGTGAGGGAACCCAGGTATAACCCAGGCTAGGCTGCGCTGGGCTGCTCTGGACCTGCCACCCTCACCTGTCTCTTAAGGGTTGATACAGAACTCGGAAACTGTACACGGGTGGCCTGCCTCTGAGGATTTTTCAGGCTCATACACCAGTCCCAGAGCTTGCTGGTTGTCTTAGTCTGTTTCTTCATTGCTGTGACAAAATACTCTGACCAGTACCAACTTGGGGAGGAAAGGGTTTATTTGTCTTACATCTCCCAGGTCGCAGTTCATCAGGGAGCCCAAGGTAGGAACTCAGGGCAGGAACCTGGAGGCAGAGCCTCAACCCAGGTGTGTCAAGTTGACACTAAAGCTATCCAGCACACTGATTAAGTGTGCTTAGGAAGGCCGCTTCCTCTTTCTGAGCCTTAGTTTCTTAATCTATAAAATGGGCTTGCTATTCTTTGCCTTCACAAGACAATGTATGAGTAGGTGGTATAGGTGGTACTCATACACTTCCCAACAAGGAAACAGGTTCAGATGAACAGATTTGTTTATGTGTTGTGTCTGAGGTGACCTAAGGTCATTGTGACAAGAGATAGCAGGCCTAAATGGTGCCTCCAGACCCCAAGATGGATGCCCATGGGATGCCCTTTCCAACCTTGATGCAGCCAATGGGCTGTATGAATGACCTTGTATGACCTTAGCAAGGGATGGCATGGTAGACCATAAATGGCAGAAAATAGTAACGAGGGCCTGGCTAGCAGGGCCACTGGAAACCTCAGCCAAACCTCACGGGACCAGGGTAGCACTTCTGGGAAACCCTGAAGTCCCAACTGCCCCCTACAATCTCCCACAGCCTCCTAAAACCTCTCTGCCTCCAGCCTCTCTGCCCCCTCACCCCTGCTCCAGCCCTGAATTATCATAGGACAGCGCGTGGCCAGCAGACAACTAAGCCCCTGGGAATATGAACAAGACTTGGGGAGAGACGCCCGACCCAATTTTAAGCAACTACTTAACCTTTACCAGACAGTCGAGACTCCAGGTGTTCCCTGGCCCTGAGCCACCTAGCAATCCCAGCTGTTCCCCCTGTGGAGTCTCAGAGGGTCCTGGAGGGCAGCAAGAGGGGACCTCTCTAGAGGCCTGGCCACCCACCTCCAAATCCTTCAACCAACTAGAGTGCTTATGCATGGGCTAGGCAGACCTGCACACAAGCCAGACTCTGCCCATCTGTCACCAGTCCAAGCCAGGAGGGTACAGCCAAAATGAGGAAGCTAGGTCAAGGGCAAAGGGGCACCTCAGTCTCAGTCTTTCCTGCACCCTTTGAGAGTACACATGTATGCAGGTGCCTGTGGAGGCCAGAAGAGGGCACACAATCTCCCCTACCCCACCCCAACCCCCAGCTGAAGTCGCACATGGTTGTGAGCTGAGTCCCCCCAGCCCCTGGAATTTCTGTCTCACTTCTGCGCTGCTTGCTTCCCTAGCCCTGCCTCACTCTGAGCAATACTATCCACAAAACTGCCAAAGACTTATGCCAGCCAAGTGTTTCTTGATACACAGCAAAAGGTAACTATTAAAATGAAAAAGGACTGTCTCCACTCAAGCCTAGTCATGGAGCTCCAGCAGACTGGAACATGACTCTGGGTGCCCTGGACTCCAGGAAGCTAAGGACGCATTATCCACGGCACTCCCCGGGTCTAATCATGAAGCTATACCGGGACCAGTCCAGAATATGAGATAGTACCAGACCATCAGCACTGCACCTTACTTCAGTGAGTCGGTGCCATGAAAGCCCAAACAAGTCAGAGGAACATTCTAGAAACAAGCTGAAAAGAAGAGGCAACTAAACATAACTCATGGTGCCCAGGCTGGGCTGGGGGTCAGGAAGGAAAGTACTGAAGTGGCTCAGAGACACCAGGAAAGTCAGTGGAATTGTGATTTGATGCCTCGGGGGACTGTTTCTGAGCACGGTGACCAGACTGAGGAGGATGCCTTGGTCGGGCAGCTGGGCCCAAGCACTGAGGGGTGAGGACCAGGATGCCTTTCCTCCTGTGATGCCGTGTAATGAGCACAAGTGACACCACCTAGCTGGGGTGGGGATGGGGGACTAAAGCGTTAGCCAAGTCTTCAGCACACATTAATGACACAAAACAAAAGGTTGAGGGGAAATGACCATCTTCACCCCATAAACTATGTGCCCTCCAAAATGCAGGGAAGGCCAGGAGACTGCCAGGGGGCCTGTCCCCTAGGATCTGACCACCATAGGCACTTGGAAGGGGCAATCTGGGGATCCAGATTCCCTTGACCTCTGCCTTGGAACAAGAGGCACCTTCCCAGGCGGCAGCTCCCAGCACTGTCCCATCCCCCGTCTCACAGAGCCTCCAACCAACTGTGAAATTAGCAGGGCCTCTGACTCCGCCTCCTTCTTCCCTCTCTGGGTCCATGCTTAGAGCTCAGAGCTCAAGCTGGTACTCAGGGCTCAGGGTTCATGGCTCAGAGCTCAGAGCTCAGGCTCAGGGCTCAGGGTTCAGGGCTCAGGGCTCAAGGTTCAGGCCTCAGGCCTCGGGCCTCGGGCTCAGGGTCCAGGGCTCAGGACTCAGGGCTCAGAGCTCAGAGGTCAGGCCTTAAACTCAAGTCTCAGGTGCGCTAAGGAGTACCCCGTGACTTCATGCAGCCAGTCCCTGGATGCCCTGCCCATGCCCCAACTCAACAAACCTACTCAAGCTCCTGTTCCCTCAGCCCAGCGCCTCCCTGCCCACCTTCCCTAGCCCTGCTGAGGCGCCTCTTCCAGCAAGCCCCTGACCGTCACGACTCCTCACAGGGGTGTTCCTCCTCAGGTCTGACCAAGTGGAGACAAGATGGGAAGGACAAAGGACCATGGTGAAGTGGAATGTCCCAGAGAGAAGGCCCTGGGCTCAGAGGCATCAACATAATAGCCCAAGGCTCCCTGCCCTCTCTGGTGCTGAGGTCACGCATGGTGGTAATACATGGCAAATGCTCACATCCCTGAGCCTCACCCTTCTCATCTGTGAGAACAGAACCCACAGCCCCACCTCACAAGTCTCTTACAGGGAGGGTAAACTTAGCACACTGGGCATGGGTCTAGTACTGGCAAGACTCAGCAGGAATACGTTTTCTTCCCAACTGGACGTTAAGCCCCAGGGGCCAAGGCATTTCCCTTGGCCCTATCCTCAGAGCCAATCCAGGCACAGGGCTGGGATTAGAACATCTAAACATGCGTTTTGTGTGCGTGGACCTGGATTTGGCTGGCTTTCTAACTCATCTGTCTTTCCAGAACATTCCTGTGGCCAGGCCTGTAGGCCCCAAGCAGAGCAAAGCTTGCACTGAACACTGGATGTAGAGACTCCTTGAGGATGTGGCCAGACAGTAGGCACCTTTTGATCATGATGTTGTTGGGGCCACCTGTAGTCTGAGTTACTTCTGAACAAGTTGCTTAACTTCTCTGAACTTCAGAGTCCTCATCTCTAATGTATAAACTCCAAGCAGAATTCTGGGACAGGGTTCCTGAGAAACAGAGAGCAAATCCTGCAGCTCAGAGGGGCCAC